GACCAGAGAAATGTGTTTCTTATGAGACTCATAACTCATTTCCCCACGAGACTCCATAACTTACCGCCTCAGCTCCAAGAGACCGGTATCTACACAAGGAACACGCCGGATTATCATAGCTTAGGGAGGGAGCTGCGTCTGCCTTTGTGTTATCTCTGCGGGCGTCCATGCCGTGTAGTCTGGTATGTGGGTACCAACATTCTTCTGTGGCTTGGTGTACGAGACTTTCAGTCCCTCCTTCCGTCTGCATTGTGCCGAGTGATGAAATTATTAATAAGAAAATGTTCGGAAGGAAGAGTTAGTAGCCTAATTGAGGTAGAGTAAACCCTCGCTAATCCGGTTACAGTTAATCCGAATCGAAATATGAAAAATTGTGTTCACAGTTGAATACATACTTCAAAAAGACACGCGAGACATTTAGAAGGGCAGATGAGTTACTTGTCTGTTCGGACAAAACTTGAGGCAGTTTCTTCAAACTTGCATTGTTACGTTAAAAAACAAGTACAGCTTCTGAGTCTTTTATCAATGAATAAATATTTTGTCTTTTTATAGATTCTAAGTAAAGGCCCTACAGTAATATCTTTTTATTTTCATCAGCACTATTTATAGCACTATATTATGCACTGGGCACGAGGTAGCGTAGTTGGTTGAGGCACTACGATACAAGTCGGAAAGTCGCGTGTTCGAGTCCCGATGAAGTGGACTTTTTTAATTTACCTAATCCTTCCAGCCGCACTATGGCCCTGGGGTCAACTCTGCCTCTAACAGAAATGAGAACCAGGAATCTTCCTGGGGGTAAAGGGCGGCCGGCGCCTAAGGCTAACAGCCTTACAGCCATCGGTGAGCCGATTGCCTAGACAATGTGGGAACCTCGACGTCTCACAACCCTATGGGCCTCCACGGCCTGTTACAGGGAATGCCTTGCCTTTTTACCGTACCTAAGTTGCTTCACTAATCCGGATAATGTCTCACCCCTCACCCATTAATTCGGATTAGCAAGGGTTTTCTGTAGTGCCCTGGCGCGTAAATGGCGGGACTAAAGAAACCAATGAAAAACCTGTCAGGATAGTCAATACTGCAGCCGAGGTCCGAAACGGGAAGCCTCCAGAATATATCCAGACCAACCTGTTCCGTCAAGTTAAGGTCAATCACTCCGGCCAGAACACCTTTTTATTATTTCATGCATGGCGTAAACCGCTATTGCAATTATAACTGGCGAACACTTGAAGAGGTGGGGTGTGGGCGTGGGTGTGCCGTGCAGCAACCCTCGAGCGGCCAAGTTCGCAGTAGAAGGCAAGGCGCACCTCAGCCGCTCTCACAGCAGCGCTGTTGCGCAAATGAACACCGCAGCGTGGTATTGCGTTTATTTTACGAGATGCAGATGTCGCCCGAGATCGTACCTGTGTGGGTGAGGCCTCGCTTGTAGTGAGTGAGATGCCAGACTCTCATCAGCGCCGCCCCGCGGGGCTCTCCACAACTGCCACACTGTAATGCATCTCTGACGTAGATGTCTCCCCTCTAATTCTGAGCACTTTCACCGTGAGAGTGTCTGTCTATCTGTCTGTCGGGTAGGGCATCCAGACTAAGGGGAGAAGCTACCGAGCAACGGCTACTGAAGACTGAGAAGACCGCAATAAAACGCATTTCCATATCCCATGAATGACGTGGACTAGTAAGTCGAATGTTACACTGTACGGTAATGGATGCTTGTTCGAATTTGGTTGAATGGGGTTAAATGAATCAGCTAAGCCAAATTAGGTAATCCAGTTGAATAAACACAGGGACGTAATGACGACCCTCGTCTCTATAGCTACTTGTGCTATACTGTGGGCCCGTATATCCGTGCCATGTTCTGTGCATCACGGTGACTGTGCGGCCCGTCCCCCGCACTCCACTGGACCACAGGACCCAAACTACAGCAATCGATGCCATATTCTCCGTTCTACATAACCAATAGCAGAGACGAATATATCTCTGTTTATTCGACATTTTCTAAATTTGTTTTAACTGATTTTAACTCGTTACTCTTCACATACAGCGCTTATATTAACTATATTACGTAATAATGTCACGTGACTGAGTGACTATAGACGGGATTTGGATTGGTATTCGGATTTACTGGACACTTACAGAACGTAGCTACAAATAACGACGACAGTCTCACTGAGTTACACACTCCAGAGATCGCTGTAACTACACCACATATAAAGTATTCTCTGTCTTCACTATCCACTGCCTCCAACGGCGGACGTTCCCCTTCCCCTGGGTCCCCGAAAATGCCGAGGCCTCAGCTACCAGCTTCTCACATCTCATAACTGCAACTCTCGTTATATAGCCCAGACAGGGACCGCACAAAACATACCTTTCATTATTGCAGGTTCTCTCGTTGCCGGGGAAATGTGTCCACAGAGCTGTTCCCTAGTAAACGGCTGTTGTACTGCAGCCTCTTTACACAACTGTTATTTGGTAACAATAGTTTAGTTTTGATTTCTAATACTACCCTAAGCCGCTCTCCTGCTATATCCTGTAGCCGTACCACTGACACCACCATCTTTATTTGTAATCAATATTTCTTTTAGAGTAATTATACACAAGGGGTAGCAAGGAACACTCAAGGGTGACTTAGCCCGATTCTTGGTTTCAAGAATAGGGCCTGCTTCACTGCTACAAAGACCAGACAGGAAGGACCCCGCAGGGTTTTCCTGGAAATTCAGTTAGAAAGTTGACCGGCGGGATCCTTTGGTAAAGTTACACGTGACAAGTTTTGAACCCCATAAGTCAAAAGTGGGAAGGCCAGCAACCCACGCTACTGGTATAATTTTTCAGGCAGCTGTCTAAAACGACGTTAGGACTTTAAGGTCCAAAGTCCCAAATTAAAGTTATGTGATTGGAGTAGTGAGAATTATGGTTAACTCCCTAAATTCGAATTGTTCCAATCAGCAGAAATTAGGGTAGTAACTTGGAGGCGGAGCCGAAGCCGCGAAGATTTCTTGCTTC